CCCAAACCATTCTATGATTATGTGAAAACACTTTGTCTCAGTAAAAAGTAAGCCTCGTGAGCGTGACACTGAAATATTTTTTTTTTGACAGTGTGATTGGAGAATATTTCAGAGTTAGTCATAGTGCTTGTAAAATTACTCTTAGTGTCTGTTGATCATGATGATTAAATTGTCATGGGACAAATTGCTCTAGAAAACTAGGGTCCCATTGTTTGGGGACTCAAATTTTTAGCTGGGATCTAGTTGAGGTTATAGTTTCACCAAGTATAGTTGAATCCTTTGTTCCAGTTTCTGCCATAAATCATGGTGCTCACATCTCCCAGTCTTCCTATATTGGATCACCGTCTCATTTTCTTTTCGATGTAACTTTGGAATTATTTTGTGAGGGAGTTAAGGTTTCACATCTTGTAGAAGGAAGGCGTATACTTATTTCCATTTTTGCCATTTTTGATGCTGATTTTGAAGAGATTGAAATCTTCTGTTTAGTTATTTTTTTCATTTGTGTTTTATTTTTTTCTTCCAGAAAAATATTGACAAGGAGGCATAGGTCTGTGAAGTTCAGGATATTGTTTTAAGCTTTTTTTGGTATATCATCAGAAATGTTAAACAAAAGAATAGTGTAAGACAATGTGAGTAAACTAGGTCTTTAATAATAGCTCTTGCTTCTCTGAAATATAGGACCACTTTTCTCCTTAGAAGTACCGTTTCAACTGTTAGTACCTTTATAATTACCTTTACAAGCACACCTACTTACAGCAGGTTGTCAGTTTAGGGGAGCAGGGTGAATGAAGATTAAAATGAAGAGAAAAACCTGCCAAACTTGCTGCTGTCTGTAAATGTACTTTGTCTTGATCATCTTAATTACTGCCAAGTTAGCAATACTCAGAAATGATGATAGTGCACTAACAAGGAGTATGGTAAAGGAAATTATTTGTACAGTCATGTGTGCTATAAGGAGTACTACAAGGATTTGTTCTTCCATTGTAAATAATAATTTAATATTGGGGTTTTTTTAACTTCAGTATTTTAAGGTTGTTCAGATTTGCAGGATCAGGGTTTTTCTCAAGGGAAGAATAAGGGAAATATAATTAACATTTTTAAAAAATAATTTGAGCTAAAGAGATTTTTCTTTGTTTAGCTTAGAGCAATAAATGTAGATCTCCAGGCTGATGCTGCTCTGCAAGTGGATATCTCAGATGCACTCAGTGAAAGGGACAAAGTGAAATTCACTGTCCATACAAAGGTAAAAACCTGGGTTTGTACACTGTACATTTTCTTAATTATGTAAAAAAGAAAGTTTTCTTAAATTGTTTATTGAAACAAGTGTAACGCAATCCAAAGGAAATGAGAAAGCATTATCTCATATTTAGGAAACTCTGTAGCTGCAGTGCTTAAGAAAAAGGTGGCTAAAAAGTTAAGAAGTTAAACTGTTTAGAAAAAAGGGATGTTCATTTTTTGTACAGATGTATTGTCGTGCCATTCCCATGCTTATTAGTCTGTTTGCAGGTAAGAATCTTTAATATACCTCAATATTCTTCAGTGTAGTTTTTTATTAGATTAGCCATGGTTTCAGATTCTAAAAATATATTTCATAATGGAAACACATTCAAGAATCAGTTTTAGTTACTGCTTGTTTATGGCTTTTCTTATTTTTGATTTGAATGTTTATTGATCACAGAGTAGTTGAGTTTGAATAAAATTTCTGGAGGTCATTTAGTCCCATGTCCTCTCTTACTCCTGCCATTAAATCAGGGTGAACCAGAGCACATTGCTCAGGACTTGTCCATTTGGGTTTTGAATATGTCCACAGGCAGAGACTTCACAACCTCTTTGGGCAACCCATTCCAGTTGATTGCTGCACTGATTAAGACAAGGGTAATTATTGCTATATGAACTTCTTTTTGTCAAATCCTTACAGGGATGATAGGATTATTTTTACAGGAATATTTTTGTTGTTCCTTCAAGGTGTTTTTCATGTACTAATGAAAAACTTTCTCTTTTCCTTTTTTTTTTCTTTTTATATGAGTGGGTTGTCGGTGTGTTTTCATAATTCTTCCTCCTTTTCCCCTTCTAGAGTTCCTTACCAAATTTCAAACAAAATGAATTTTCTGTTGTCCGGCAGCATGAAGAATTTATTTGGCTTCATGATTCTTTTGTTGAGAATGAGGACTATGCTGGCTATATTGTAAGTATTAGAGTTCTTTGGTTTATGTACACTGTTTTCTGTGGACTTTATCAAAAGTACTTGTGACTGCTTTTAAACAACAGATTTTCACTCCATCTAAAATCAGATCAGATGCTCTAATACTTCATTTCATGCAATTACACAAAATTATTGGTTGAAGAAAGCTTGGAGGAGAGTTACTGTAGCTGACATACTTTCTTGCCTTTCACTCAGACGGGCTGAGTAGTTTAATTTGTATCCAAGTGTATTTTTAGTCCATCCTGTTAAATGTGTGGGAGATAGGTGAACTGTGTAACTTGGTGGTATTGTTTTCGCAAGCTAATGTTTAACTTGGTTACAAGTTTCATGTTGCCTTTGTTTTAGCTGGAATGGCAGAATGCAGTAACTGAGCTATGGTAATTAGACTTCACTAGTTTTCATTACGAAGATCAGAATCATTTTACCATAAATCAGTTGGAGGAGACAAAACCAACACAAATACCATCTAGAACTACAAAGAACCTTGATACGCAATGAATCATGGTTTGAAGTTTATTTCAGGCTTCCAGGGAACACAGGTCCCAAAATAGTCACAATACTGCTTATTAAAAAGAGTTGCTGCTTTCATACTTCAATTACAAATGGGAATATTTGTCATCGTGGTGTGAAAGTTAGGTATTCATTTTGTGTTTTGGGGGGTTTCTACTGATACAGAGGGTAAATGTGTATTTCTAATTGACTAGTGAGTACATTACGATGAATGTAATCTGTGATGTGTCATACCATTCTTAAACTAGTCTTTTTTTTTTTAGTCAGAAAACCTATTTGAGGTGACTAGACCTTCAGTGTGGTAATAATTAATTTCAAACAGTTGACAGTAGATGCTGGATTTTTCTTTCTTTGTAAAGCATTAATGTAATGGGCAGCTATCAGTGAACTAAAATTTAAGCATAGTTTAGCTTTGTTCTGTATCCCTTTACTGAAAACAATTCAGGATTAGTTTGACTGCAGTGTTTCTCCTTCAATGTTAATATACTGTATTACAGGATTAACCTAAAGACTGTTTACTGTGTGCTTTGTTATTTCAGCAGATGTATCTTTTAATGTCAGCAGTACTGCAGGAATGAATGAGTGCCTGCAGACAATATGGAATGTTGGTTGTGGGTTTGGTTTTTTTTTGTTTGTTTGTTTTGTTCAAAGTTTTTGGGCTTTACAAATGGATGGTGTGAAAACAATTGTGGATTTTTTTTCTTTAAACAAGAAACAATACTTACCAAATAAGCTAACCCAAAACTAATTATAATGTAACAATTTCAAATTTTAATTCATTGCATTGGGAAAGCTAGGTATTATTTGGTTTCTGTTGTAATTAAACTACTGAAGCCATTAGTTAATTCTTTTGTAATCTTCAAGGACACTTGGCCAAAATCGGTAGTAATGCAGCATGTTGAACTTATGAATGAGAGTTTATCCACAAATGCTGCAATGGATGATGAAAAAGAGCACCATATATTAAAAAGCCGCAGGCAATTTACAGTTCCTGTACTGAATGGATGTTATTTGGCTGAGAAGATGGGCAATTAAAAAGGACTTGATTCAATTCCAGATTCCACCAGCACCACCCAGGCCTGACTTTGATGCCTCAAGGGAGAAATTGCAGAAACTTGGAGAAGGGGAAGGGTCAATGACTAAAGAAGAATTCACCAAGATGAAACAAGAACTGGAGGCGTATGTAGACATGATTACTACCTTTTTTTTGTTATCCCTCAACTTTCAATGTTGTTTGCTGTTCCTTGTTTCTGATTTCATTGTAATGGCTCTCTGTGAGATATAGGCTTGATAATCCAGTTGCTACATAACCAGAGTTGTCTTAGTGATGATGATCAGAGCCCTTAGGAAAATTGAGCATTCTTTTATAAGGAGAAAACTAGTTAGATATTTTCTTCACAGAGCACCTGTAAAGGAAGGAGGTAACCTATGGGTTGTTTTTTTAGTTCTGGTGCTTCACATTTTGTAAGCATAATGAAACTTTAAGATTTATACGTATAGTGTTTGAACTAACTAAAAATCACTAGAGTGATTTTTGCATGTGGTTGGTTTTGTAAACTTCGATGCCAACATTCTGTTCCTCAAGAAATATGGAGTTCATTAGAAAATACCTTTTTTTTTGACACTCCCTATTTTTTTGCACAAGGAGAATATACTTCCCGAAACCAGTATTTTCCTTTACTGTGAATTTAATGTGTATTGAAATATCTGCTCTAAGCCTTTTGTTCCACATTAAGTCACACAGTGAAGTTTCTCCTTGCTTCATCCGCTTTTCCTTATCATACATTCACTTGTTTGATCTTTTTCCTGTCATTGGTTTCAGTTTTCAGGTGTATATTTGCACTGCCTTTATACTGCTTCTATCTAGAGCTCTGAATTGGCAAGAAAAGTACATAGAACTCTTAAAAACTGCTGCTTTCTCTCTGAACTCCAGCTGCTGTGAGCAAATGTCTTAAAAAGCTCTGTATTAGTGTTACATACAATGTAATTTATAGCAGAGTAGATATACACTTCATATTCACAAAAACTGGAAATTGGCAAAACACTATAGATTTTAAAGAATCTGTGGGTTTCCAGCGGCCCTGATCATGATTCTTTTGTGGTCTGGTTAGGGGTTGGATAACACAGAAAACTTTGGGTTTCTTCTACTGCCACCTCCATCCTCTGCATCCTCCTTTTTTGTCTTCACTGAATGATTACTACTCTCACTGAGATCAAACATCTCCCAACACTGGCCCTGCTGGTTTGCTGGTATGTAAAACTTAACCTCCTTGCACATAGTGGAAGAAAAAGTGTTGATTACCATTTCACCGTTTGACGTCAGAATGGGGAAAAGAGTCCCTTCCTCATTTCTAGACAAGTTATATCTTATTTGTTGAATTTGAAAAGCAAAATGGATTCTAGCAAACTTGTATTGATAAGAATGCCTTCTTCTTAATTAAATCACAAATCAGTAAGTGCTTTAAATTTGAGTTGGCTAAACTGGGCAACTTTGCAATTGTCATGGGCCCTCTACAGAAGAAAACAGGAGAGCTGTTTTCCCAGGATACAGAAAAAGCCAAGGTTCTCGATGATTTCCGCCCCCCTCCCCCCCACCCCGGTCTTCACTGGCAAGGGAGCAAGCCATATTCTTGAGTCACAGAAGGCAAGGACAGGGACTGGGAGAATGGAGAACCACTCATGGTTAGAGAGGATCAGTCTTGGGAGGACCTAAGGAGCCTGAAGGTGCACAAGTCCAGGGGACCTGATGAAATATATCTGTGGGTCCTGAAAGAACTGGTGGATGAGGTTGCTAAACCTCTGTCCATCATATTTGAAAAGTTGTGATACATTTAAAAAGGGTAAAAAGGAGGATCCATGGAACTACAGGCCAGTCAGTGTCACCGCTGTGCCTGGCAAGATCATGGAGCAAATCCTCCTGGAAACCATGCAAAGGCACATGAAAAATGAGGAGGTGATTGGTGACAGCCAGCATGGCTTCACCAAGGGCAGATCGTGCCTGATGAATATGGTGGCCTTCTGCGATGAGGGTACGACCTTGGTGGATAAAGGAAGGGCAACTGATGTCATCTACCTGGACTTGTGCAAAGCCTTTGACACCATCCTGCATGACATCCTTGTCTATAATTGGAGATGGATAGACTGCTCAGTGGATAAAGAACTGGCTGGATGGTCACAGTCAGAGAGTTGTGGTCAACTGCTCAGCGTCTGAGTGGAGACGAGTGACGAGTGGAGTTCTTTGGGAATCAGTGTTGGGACCGGTGTGGTTTAACATTTTTGTCGACGACATGGATGGTGGGATTGAGTGCACGCTTAGCAGGTTTGGCGATTACACCAAGCTGTGTGGTGCAGTCAACATACTGGAGGGAAGGGATGCCATCCAGAGGGACACTGATGGGCCAGAGAAGTGGGCTACTGCCAACCTCATGGAGTTCAGCAAGGCCAAGTGCAAGGTCCTGCACCTGGATTGGGGCAGTCCCAAATACAAGTGCAGGCTGGATGGAGAGTGGATAGAAAGCAGTCCTGATGGGGGTACTGATGGTTGAAAAGCTGGACATGAGCCGGCAGTGTGCGCTGGCAGCCCAGAAAGCCAGCCGTATCCTGGGCTGTATCCAGAGAAGTGTGGCCAGCATGTCAAGGGAGGTGATTCTCCTCCTCCACTCTGCTCTCATGCTCTCGACTTGGAGTACCGTGTTCAGCTCTGGGGCCTCCAACATAAGAAAGGTATCAACTGGTTGGAGCGAGTCAAGAGAAGGCCACGGAGATGATCAAAGGGCTGGAGCACCTCTCCTATGAAGAAAGGCTGCGAGAGTTGGGCTTGTTGAGCCTGGAGAAGAGAAGGCTCTGGGGAGACCCCTTCCAGTACCTGAAGGGGGGGCACAGTGGTGGGACATTTTACAAGAGCCTGTAGTGACAGTAAAAGGGGTAATGGGTTTAAACTGAAAGAGGGTAGATTTAGATTAGATATCAGGAAAAAATTCTTCACGGAGAGGGTGGTAAGGCACTGGAACAGGTTGCTCTGAGAAGTTGTAGATGCCCCATCCCTGGAAGTGCTCAAGGCCAGGCTGGATGAGACTTTGAGCAACCTGGTCTAGTGGAAGGTGTCCCTGCCCATGGCAGGGGGGTTGCAACTAGATGATCTTTAAGGTCCCTTCCAACCCAAACAATTCTGTGATTGTAGAAATGTGATTTTTTTTTTTTTCCCCCCCTTGGTTGTGCCTGCCAGATGCAGCACTTAATTTCACTTTTAGAACCACTGTGAAGCAAGACATCCATGTAAACTTCAGCCCAAAAAGGCAAGATGCTTTAACATGGAATATAAGACTGCTCTCTAAAGAGTTAACAAAGCTACATGAACATTTAAGTAAGTAGGGAGGGTGCAAGTAAGCAAGGGGATGGAAGTGCGGAGGAAGGAATTGGCACATGAGCTACAAAGTGACCAGTGGCTGTAGTCTGTAATCTCAGTTTCTTGATTGTTGGGGAGTTGAGGAAATGACAATTAAATAAGGTTACTTTCAGCAAACCAGTCTGTGTTAACTAGCCTTAAAAATAGAATGCATTTGTTGAGTCTTCATTGAAAGCCTCTGTCATGTTAGGGCTTCAAATTTCCCCCTAGTTTACTACTTACTTATGTATATGTCAAATATTAGAGTGATAACCTATACTGTATCAGCTTATAATTTTGTATCCTTACTTGAGAGTCTCTTAAAGCTGCTTACTAGGCCTAACTGAAACTTAGTTGCTTCATGAGAAATTCTTATGTCTGCCTTGTTATTTCTTTTCAGTGAATATTTGGCAATCTTCAAGAAGACAGTTGCAATGCATGAAGTATTTTTGTGTCGTGTGGCAGCACATCCTATTTTGAGAAAGGATTTAAATTTCCATGTATTCTTGGAATATAATCAGGATGTGAGTATTGAAAACTGAATTGCTGGCAAAAGAAATAAAGATGTACTTTTATGGTGGGATGGGAGGCTGATTAAGAGGGCTTTACTTCTTGGAGCAAACAATCAATTCCTTCATACCAAACATATTTGTATTGCAAAAGTTATAAATTCATTTAGTCTGTAGGAGTTCATTTTGTTGCCATCTGGGGAACCAAATGCACTATGTGCTGTAGCCTCAGCGTAAAAAATATTAGTGGGAATCCAATATGTTTTGGATTAAAAAGATTAGCTTTTGGTGGTGATTTCACATGATATTATATTTTTCCACTCTCTGACTGATTTTTTTTTTTTTTTTTTCTTCCTGGTGAAGGAAGATGGACTGCTAATTTTTAGGATTTGAAACCATGGTTTAAATTCTGTTGCTAACAAAACTAGAGAGGATTTCTAATGAAATGTTTTGATAAGTCAAGTCTTTTTGTTAATAGTATAGGTGAAAATTTAGTTAATTTTTTTTCTACATACTGGATTAGCATGGCTCTCCACATGTTACATAGTGAGTTGCTATCTTATTTTGAGTTAATGGAGAACACTTTCTGGATTGATAACTCCTCTTTGGGGTTGCAGTTAGTGGTTGCTCATATTCTGGAAACAGTTTTTAGTTGCTCTTTAAAATTGCAGAAATTGGCACTGAATGTTGAAGAAATCATTCTAAATATTGGCTCAACTGAATACATGCTTAACTTCAAACTGTGTTACAGAGGATCCTCTTGTTGCTTGATGCAGAATGCCTACTGGTTCAGAAACTCGGTTTACCTAAATTGGACAAATAGGTGGACAGGAAGAGTGAGGAGGCTGAAGCCAATATTATCCTCAGTGCAGTGAGGGGTAAATGCTTCTGTAGTTTCTGAAAGTCAAAGATCTGCCATTCTATACTTATATAACCAGATTTTGTTCTTTTCAGGTTAACTCAACAGCTATACTGTGTGTGATAAATACTGTGTTATTGATAACTGAAATGTACACCTTGTACATTTGGTATTATCTATAGGTGCTAGAATGTTGCTGGGCTTTTTGTTTGTTTTGGGTTTTTTCCCTTGGAATAGTATTTTAGATGATAAAGAATACTCCAGTAAATGAGGTAGTCTGTCATTTTGGGTACGTGATGCCCTTGTCCCCATTGATGCAGTGTAAGTCTAAGCAGAGAACAGGAAAACTGGTTTAGAAGTAGTAAGTTGTGGTATGCAGTTTTTTTTTTTTTTTGTTTAAGCTTTTGTTGCCTTCAGAAAATTAACTAACTTGATGAATGAATTTGTTTTTCAGTTGAGTGTTCGTGGGAAAAATAAGAAAGAGAAACTTGAAGACTTCTTCAAAAGTATGGTTAAATCAGCAGATGGTGTCATTGTTTCAGGAGTAAAGGTGATTATAGCTTAACATATCAAGATTAAAAATATATTACATTTTCATATCAATATTTAAAATGTCCCCTTTTTTAATGAAGCAGAATTTTACATAGCTACAAAAAAGAGATTTTTCTAAAAATGTCTAATGTAAGAATTGGAGACAGAGCATGGGAAGGAACCTGTGGCCCTGGATGCACGATGACTGAGAGCTATCTGATTGCATCTGTGAAAAGGTGCTTTCGGTACTCTTTTTTTTATTAAATTAAGCATTTTTTAAAATCCATAGATAATTGATAATCTGTTATTGTTTTTGTTCTGGCCTGTCATTTTGTGTGGTGGGAAGGTGCACTAGCTTTGACAACTGCTGCAGCTCAGAAGTTACTAAAATAGTGTGAATTTTACTAGCTTTGTAACATCATTCTACTGTTTCAAAACTAAGAACAGGAGTACTGGAGATACTGTTTTCCCCAGTAGATGCAAGAATGTAAAGAGACCAAACCCAACCAACCAACCAACCAAATTTCATTTTGACTTTTTTAGATGTTGAAAGATTGGTTTTATTACAAGCATAAATTCTGCAGAAGATTATTTTGATTTTTTTTTTTAAGTAGTAACTTTCCATTTGCAAGCAAATTAGAGGAGCTAAAGTTCCTAGTTGTAAAATCTTCAGTTTCAAAACTTCTGGGAAGTGGATATAACCATTGATTAATTATGAGTTGGAGAAAAATATGAAGGCCAAATAACCAGCAGTTTTCATAAGCACATTGTTCAAAGCCCATGTTGTAGGCCATTCCAATGTATTAAGCATCTGTACTATTTTGGAGGATTTTAAAAATAAATGTAAACAAAATTTCTCAAAATGTAATACAGAAAATTTAAAAATTTACCTACCTTGACCAGCTTGAAAGAAATCTGTCATCAAGTTCTGTGTTTCTGAGCTAGGAGTTCATGTAGTCTCTTCTATGATTGCAGCATATGTGCAACTGGGTGTCTTTCTTCCCCCCTCACCTTTTTCTGGGTAGATGGCCTTTTATTAAGTACTTAACATTTATTTTGTTTTTCTGTCACCAAATTGATAGTAGTGAAATTATTTCCTTTGCTTCAGGTTTAGTTATCTGGACCTTTAAGATGTTTGTTACAAATTCTTAATTCTTAATAAAACATCAGATCATGATAAGGTAAGTAAAGAAGAAATCATGGGAAAATCAATAAATGGTGTTTTAGACAATAAAGATAGATTATATTTCATGTCACAGCAACAGCAAATATATGCACATTTACTCTACAATTGTTCTGTACAGTGATTGAAATCCTTTTTTTTAATTGTTATTGTTTTTTTTGTAGGATGTTGATGACTTCTTTGAGCATGAAAGAACATTCCTTGTAGAATATCACAACCGTGTCAAAGATGCCTCTGCCAAATCTGATAAAATGACAAGATCACATAAAAGTGAGTTTTTTCCAGGGTGAAAATAGTACTAGGTAAAGTATACAGAAGTGGTTTATGAGGAGCAGTGATTTTTATTTTTCTTTTTGCATGAGAAAAGTGCACTTCTCCAAGTGTGGTCTTCAGACAGTTGAAAGTCAGACTGAACTTCTTTAGAAGTTTAGCCTTTGACTAAAGGCTAGATGGGGTAAGAACAGACTAGATGGAGTAAGAACAGCCTGTTGTGACACTGAAGATAATTTGATTCTTCATGCTGTCCCTCTGAAGAGAAACACACTTTAATAATATTTTTTTTAAGTCTGATTCTTAGTCTTTAAAGTGTAAAGTTAGTTAATATAGCACTATATGTGACTTTACTCGTAATGAAGTTGTTCTTGGTTGGATGAGCTTGCATTCATCAGAGTACAATTTCTTGGCATACTAGGCATTATAATACCTTGCTGAGCAGCAAACATTAGTTCTGGACTGTGAAGGTACCTTTCTGTTTTTCAGCCTTTTAGAATGGAGACTGGAATGTGTATATTTGGTAGCTTGGTTTGCAGGACCCCTTTTCTTACTGATTTTTCACTTAGCTATTGATTTTTCTTCCTGAGTTGGGTGCTAGCTAATGTGATTTCTGGAAGCTGTAGATAGTCTTCTCAAGTGATGTGCATTTATTTGAGAAAATGGGAGATCTTTGGTTTAGGACTCCTGTGTTTGGTTTAGGATTATTGTGTTTTGAGAAACTCAGAAAAAAGTTGACCTTTATTGTCCTTTATTTTGAGTTTGTGTGTCTAGATAAATCAAAATTCAACTACTAGATTCTGTCTACTTTCTTGAAGTTTGTGTCCGATTCACAGGTTTTTGTCTTTCCTATCTACAGTAATATAGTTCACACAAAACCAGGCCACAAACCTTTTATGCATCTCCATTGATAAGGATGCTAAAGTGGGCATTGAATGTGATATTAGAATTTACTGATCTCTTTAGATGCTTCTCTTGCTGTTGTAAGACGACTGAGTCTTTTGTAGCTTTAGCATCTATGCTAAGAGATGTGGAGAGTATGTTGTGGCTTAATGGAGTACTAAGGGACCCTGTGTCTACATTTAGTTCCCACCTGAAGTGGTTTCTGGTGTTTTGTTTGCTTGGTTGAAATGAAAACTGAATTTCATTCATGCTAGTTAGGTGCATAACTAGGCTACAAAAGAGCCTTTCTCATAGGCTGTAGAACATGGAACACCGTTAGAAATGAGGTTCTAGAGGATCTGATGGGAAAGGATCAATCAAACTCATTACAAGGCTCATTTCCAGACTCCAATCAGCTAGGATCTTTATTGACAACTTTTTACAAACAGTGATTGGAACAAATGGCACCTTTTGAAATTCTGGCTAGAGAGAGAAGTAGAGCAGTCACTTGGGAAGCCTGTTTTGGAAATGGGCCATCTGTAGTTTATGGATAACATGATCAGTAGAGGGCTGCAGGGCTTGCAAAAATACCGACTTCCTATTTCTGGCAGAAAAATCTATATTTATGTTTAAATGTGAGGAATAGAAGGGGAGGTTAATGGCTTCCTAATACCATTCTTCACTGTAAGTAACTGCATTGATTCCCTTGGGATGTATGGAGTAATCAATTGTGTGGAAGATGATCCACTCAATCTATTAAAACAAGGTTGTGTTATTTAAAAAAAAAAAAATCTGCTAAAGGCATATAAACTTCAAAAATAACAAGCAAATATATTTTCCTTTTCATTGCTTGGTTTTGTTAGTATTTTTATCATCCATTGAGTTTATACTAAAACTCTCTAAAAAAGCCTGTGCAAAGATTTGATTTTTATGATTGCTATCTAGCAATACCTCATAAGTCAAATTATGCAGCTTTCTTTACAAACGCTGCTTCTAATTTGATGGTTTAAATGCTTTAACACTAATGCTACTTCAGTCTGTGACCTCTTTTTGGTGAGGTAAATGTTTCCTGAAAATTAGGTGCATGCTAGACAAGATGCATATAGCACTGTATTTTGGTAGTTTGGAGTTTGTATTCAATTTTCTGCTCTCAAGCTCACAGACTCACTCTTTGGTATTGTTAGACTTTTTTTTTTCCAAATAGCTTTAGACTTTAGATTCAGATTTAAATTCAGACTTTAGGCATTGAGTTTGTACATCTTCCATAAAAATCAAGCCTAACAATATTGCACAGTGAATTTACCCAGCAGGTGTTAATTGTATTAAATATTCCTAGATAAATTACAGACTTCGTGGTTTGGTGAGAGCGCTATGTTTGTTATGAAGGATTACTTCACACAATAAGTGACATAATTGAAATTTTATTTTCACTTTATTTTCACTTTTGTGTTAAAGCATGTTCCTTTTAGAAAAACACTTGGTCTTGAATAAAGATAGGAAAGAGGAATGAAATATTAAAAAAAGTGCTTTTTTGTTTTTCTAGATGTGGCAGATGACTATAATAGAATCAGTTCTTCATTATATGCTTTAGGAACGCAGGACTCCACAGATATCTGCAAGTAAGAAATTGTTAATAACTAATGGGGGAATTTGCTAAGTAGTGGTCTTAATGGTGACCTGCTGAGTTCAGTAGCTCTTGTTATAATAGAATTGATTATAGTTATATTGCATTAAGATATTTACTTTTCTAGTATTCATTTCTGTAACAGGCTGCTTTAATACTTTTGCTTTAATATTTGTCTGGGAAAAAAAATAGTTTTCTGCAGTTTGTAGAAAATAACACAAATGAGGGAGAAAAGTCCTCATAGAATAAGAAAAAACCCTAAACTCTTCCGCCATTTTCTTAAAGTGGTTTAAGTGCCTTGACATGTACAGTAAGAACAAATCTAAGAGCGGGTATACTGGTTTTTGTGTGTGTTCCCTGTACCAACATCTTGAAAAATAGTTTTGCTGTTCTGACAATTTTACTGTCTTTAGGAAAAGAATGGAATCTAGACAGATCCCTAAAACATTTAAAATAGGAGGGGGTCTATATGTACAGATCTTTATCTAATCTTTAAATTATTGGCTTGAATATCAAGTTTGGTGTTTCTGAAAGTAAAACTTAGTTAACTAGCTTAAAGATGTTGATGCTAGTGAACACAGAATCACAGAACGGTTTGGCTTGGAAGGGACCTTAAAGGTCATCTAGTTCCACCCCCCCTGCCATGGGCAGAGACACCCTC